AGGGGGCCCTTTGGTCTCTCTCTCTCTCTCTCTCTCTCTCTCTCTCTCTCTCTCTCTCTCTCTCTCTCTCTCTCTCTCTCTCTCTCTCTCTCTCTTGGGCACAAACATTTTTTTATTTCTTTTTATTTTTTTTGTGCCGTGCACTTGGCGCACCCCCTGCAGCGTGCGCACTGCACACAGCGCAAAGTCCGCGTGCTGTAATTGGAGCGCACTGCGCACCCACCCGTTCCGCACTACGCACTGGTGAGTCGCAACTATGCTATGGAATCATGAAAGCAAGGGAGCAACTGAGAAAGAGCACAGTTTCCTGCCGACAGAAAGACGGAAAAAAAAGAAAAAAACCGTGGCTGCGGTCGGATTGTTGATCCAAGGGACCAGTTTGAGAAAAGTGGGCCCCCTGCAGACATCACATGCGGCATCGAGTTGTCAATCTAAGGGATGGACTGAACAAGGGCAGACCTCGGCAGAGAGAAGAAAACTTGTCGGTGGTGGTTGGGTCGTCGATCCAATGGTCACAACTGAAGAAGGGGGCAAGTAGGCCCCTGGAGAGCGAAGGAAATCCGTGGCCGTTAGATCGTTACCGGATCGCCGATCCCATGGGTCGCAAGTGGAAAAGGGCATGCATGCCAGTGGATTTTGATCTGTTAGCGGATGTGAAGCCAATCGGATTTTTTTCAAAAGAATCTTCTGTTAGGTCGTTTTTTTCACTGTTCCTTTTTTTTTTTTTTTTTTTTTTGAAACGCAAGAAAACTGGATCGCCACCGGTTCGCCGATCCAATGGGTTGCAACTGAACAAGGGCATGCAGGCGACTGGATTTTCATCCATTAGTTGATGTGAAGTCGTACGGATTTTCCAAAAGAATCTTCTGTTATAGTTGTTTTTCCCTTTTCGTTTTTTTGGGGGAAAAAAAAACGCAAACAAAAATTGATCCGTTAATGCTGTTAGAAAAAAGAAAAACCAAAAAATTGGCAAAAATTTAAAATTCATCCTTTCAGAAGTTCACTGTTCACCCATTTATAGCTGAATCTTCTCACCCAATACTGATCGTTGACTTCATTTTGCAGGGGGCGCATGGCGTTCGCTCAAGCGTCGTCATCAGATGCGGAGCTAGCAGCACAGTTCAATGTCACCAACTTCCCAACGCTTCTTCTAATCGATGTGAGCATCAATTGTCCACTCTCAGCCCTGGTCTATCTTGTTGCTTCAGATTGCTCCCTCCCGCCCGACGTTTTCAAAGCCTAACGAAGCGGTAGATGGATGACCGAAGGAAATTTGTGGCCTTTGGATCGCTACCGGATCGCCGATCCCATGGGTCACAACTGGAAAAGGGCACGCGTGCCAGTGGTCTATCTTGTTTCTTCAGATTGCTCCCTCCTGCCCGACGTTGTCCAAGCGTAACGAAGCGGTAGATGGATGGCCTGCATCACTAAGTTTGGACTCGGACCTGATCGAGTTGTGGGTCTGCATTTCCTGTTTCGCTGAACTTCTTGTACCTTGTTCTTTGCCTCTTCGCTTCTCTGTTGTCGCAGGGGCACTTCAGTGCCCAAAGGAACCCACAAAGAATATTTATTTACTTTTTGTGGTCCCCTCCACCCTGCCAAATAAAGAAACACCACTGCCAGTGCCCTCCAGTAAAGGGCATGCATAGGGGGGGGTTGGCTGCGGAGACCTCCAGTAAAAGACGACACGCTAGAGAGCCACAGGCATAATTACCATTCAGTATCTTCATAGATCTGACAATTCTTTTAAAAACAAACCAAGATGGTAAAACCACCAGTTGGTTTACACGAGCCTAAGTTGACGTTTACACGAGCCTAAATTCTTTTCGCACCACACCGGTACACAGTTGTAGTACACTTTCTGCAGTTAAACCCACCAGTACCTACCACGTTTACAGGCCGTTAAAACGGTGGATGAGTCTGCACCCTGTGCGGGTCTGTATTCACTCGAGTCAGAGGGGGGCTAAGAATGCGGTAGGTACTGGTGGTTCAAACCGCCAGTTCGTTTACACAAGCCTAAGTTGACGAAGCGACCTTTCCAAGGCTCGCGAGCCTGAAACTGCACCTTTCCAAAGTGGGCTGCCACCCTTGCTACCGGCCCAGGCCGGAATCGAAATGCTCTTACCCGGAAATGCTCTTTCCTCAAAATGCTCTTACCGCGGTAAACCGGGAGGAGCAGTACGCTGCTTTGGAGGGACTGGTGGGTTATGCAGTATTGACCAAGCAACAAGACTTACAAGAGTTATTATTAGCGCAACATCGAACGACTCCCGAAGAGCATTTCCAACAAGGTGTGACTTCCCACATATTTCGCTCATTCCGCAACTGGCTGCGCTTGCCTGCAAAAGCGGAGTGACAGGCGTAAGGCAAAAAAAAAAAGGTTGGAAATGGCCAAACCGTACAAACATGGCAAAAAATGGCGAAAAACGGTCTGGACCCCAGTTTTCGCACTGGAGAAAAAAGGAAAACTTCAAGGCATGTCGGTCGAATGCCGAACATTGACTACGTCAATAACATTAGCTATTTTCCGTACTTGCAACCGCACGGTGCGCCGTACGGTGTGCGGCCCGGCACCTGCTCGTGCACCGTACCAGTGGCAGTTTTCATTGTTGTCTTTTTTTTTGCTGTTTTTGTAGATACAGAAGAATGCACCACCTACAGTCATACATATTTTTCTTTCCGTCCAGTTGGGCATGAGAAATAGCCTCAAATAGGTGCTTGGAACATCAGTCTTGACCCTTAGGTAGCGGCACTATTCCTCCCCCTTCCCCCCCCCCAATCCCACAACACATCTTCAAAAGGAGACACAGGTAACCATTGACCCACACATGCGACCTGCTGTTTTTTTTTCAGTGAATATTTCCCCTGTGCGCTGCGCCGTGTGGGTGCTCGTGCGCCGAACGTGCGCATTTTTCCGTACGGTGTGCACTTTCATGTATGCTATTTTCACTATTTGTGAAAGCATTCATGCGCCTCAGCATCCCGAGTGCCAGTTCTGCTCCCAAGTTCCAGAGTCCCATTTACAATACTACCGTCCCGGTACGTAGGTAGGTTATCTCGACTGTGGTAGGCCCAATAGGTCCGGTAGGTCTGTCTGTCCACTCATACGAGTCAGTCCAGTCCGTTGGCAGCTCAGTCCCAGGAAAGTCTGAGAAACTTCTGTCTGGTTGCGTCAAAAACGGCCCGTGGTTGGTAAGAGCACGTACCGCTCCGGGAAAACTCCAAGATTGGGAATGGCAAGGGAAGTACAAAAAAAAAAAAGGACTAGCGGCAGCAAGTGTCAACAAAAGATTTGCCATTCGAGATTGCTGGGGAACCACGGTCGCGGTCTTGTGCTACCAAGCGTCGATTTAGGTTGAGGGGCAGCCATAGAGAGTCGTCGATTGCCTCAGCTGCCATAGCCTCGTTGAGCGAGGGAGAGAGCGGCGTCGAAGTGAGAGGGAGACGTTCACACACACACACACACACACACACACACACACACACACAGAGAGAGAGAGAGAGAGAGAGAGAGAGAGAGAGAGAGAGAGAGAGAGAGAGAGNCACACACACACACACACACACAGAGAGAGAGAGAGAGAGAGAGAGAGAGAGAGAGAGAGAGAGAGAGAGAGAGAGAGAGAGAGAGAGAGAGAGAGAGAGAGAGTATTTGAGGTTGCTTGGCAACCATAGCCACACCAAGCAACCTCAGCCACACAGCCACAGCCACGCTGCCATAGCCACGTGGGCATGTGTATAAGACTTGAATTTCAAACAATTTCTTTCCAACCTGTTTGGATCTCGTGTTGGTTTTCATCCTGTGTGTGAGCTTTACTGTGCTGAAGTGTGACATTGTAGGTGTGTGTGAATTCATGGGTTCCTTGGCGTTTTGGTATTTCAAACTTTAATCTTTCCATGGTGTGGACAGGAGGATCACAAGCCGGACAAGCTGGCAAAATAGCTGAAACACACACACACACACACACACACACACACACACACACACACACACACGCACACACACACACACACACACACACACACAAATTACTTCAATATGTTGGACATCTCAAATGCTCTCGTTGTCTGCAATAGGACAAACACTGCTCTGATTCTGAATCTATTCATCTGGTGGAATTGGGGCTGTTGTGGAGAAAATCTATAACACACACACACACACACACACACACACACACACACACACACACACACACACACACAGAAGTAAAGATACTAAGATAGTTAAGAAAGGAATATAATGGATCTATTGTGCCTTATGTTGCTTGCTATAGAGGTGAAAGTTCCGTAAAACTGTTTCCTTGTTGGATTGGCTCATCTCAATCAAGTGTGCTTCATTGTCTGCAAAAATAGACAGAGGTGAATGTGCTTTGATGTTGCATCTTCTCATCTGGGTGGAACAGGGGCTGTTGTGGTAAAAAGTACTAAAACTTAGTAAAAAGTTCAAAACCTAAAAAAATACATGCGCGCACACGCACAGGCGAAATCAGGACATCAAAAGCTGCCTTAGAAATCTGACCCTTAGAAAAACTGGGAAGTTAGAACTTAGAACCTTTGGGCCCAATCTGAGTAGTTGTTGAATTGAATTGAATTGTAGTAATTCAAATTTTGGAATTTTGAGAGAATTTTGGATCCAATTCAATTTACAAAAATCTGTTTGCCAACCTTACCTTGGTGTTTGATGCCAGCAACACGGCGAGAGATTTTCGTACAAGGGGTCGCTGAAGGCGGTTCTGATCAGTGAGTTTCTGGAGCCCTTTGCGGCCACTGCATCTCCTCCCAAGGATGATGGTGGTGAAGCAGCAGCATCTGATAAGAGCGCAACAGGCGACCAAGGTGCCGGCGGGAAAGGACTCAAGATGCGGTTCATCGAACAGCTGAATGCGTCCCGCTTTCAGAGCATGCTTGCAAGCGAGGATGTCTGGTTGGTTGCATTTGTCGGTGGACCTGGTGAGTTTGTTTGTTTTTTTGTTTTTTTTTTCCTCTTTCCCTTAGGGATGCCACTTTGTTGTTTTCCGGACCAGCTTGCCACTTGTGGTAGTGCCACCAAAAGGGGGTGTAGAAGAGGAGTGGGAGAGAGCTGGTTGTTTTTCCTCTTCATTAACCAAAGCATTCATAATCAAGTTACAACGTCGCAAATTGCAATGCCATTTGCCTGGGGGGAGATACTCATCGGAGACTGACCATTGATTAATTCTGAATGCTTTGGTTAATGGAGAGGAATTAAAAGGAGGAGGAGGAGGAGATTTGAGTGCTGGTGAGGTGGCAAGATGAGGGAGATACGACATTGGAGAAATCCGAAGAAGTGCATGGTGAACCGTATGAAGAGAGGGAGAAGAGGATAACAAATGAGGGGCCCGGTTATATATGTTTTTTTCGAATCATGCAGGGCCAACTTTGAGTCACAAGAATCAAACTTAGAGTTGACCTTGAGTCAAATGAGTCAAACTTAGAGTTGAACTTGAGTCAAATAAGTCAAACTAGAGTTTCAACTTAAGTCACTTGACGTCATTTCTGCCCAATCAAGATCAGTTCTAGCATAAGAGTGCAAAACGGAATGGGCGTCGCTCCATTACACAACACAGTGACAACAGTCTACATGAATCTGGATGCTTTTTTTTTCTGGACCAGATGCATTTGGATGAGTCAAACATTTGGAATGTATCAGGTCTACCGCGTGCTAAATTGTGAATGACTGATGGAGATGTATCAGGAAAACCAATTGGTAATGAACTGTGGCGTTAGTAAACTGCGGAGTGAGTGATGGACGGGGATAGAATGGTGACAAGGCGATGAGGTCATACCGTCATACCATAGGGAGTCTCCCAGCTTTGCTAAGAGGATGCACCAGCCTGCCTCTTTCCTTAAGTCTGAACATAATTCAGTTGTTTTGCTTGCCGGTGATAAGTAACCGGACTGTTGGCCCCCAGAATAGAAGGGGCATTATTAAAAAAAAAAAAAAAAAAAAAAAAGTGTGCAAGTGTATTGAGCGGGATCCTTTGTTTGTTTGTTTTTTTGAACAAAACTTCTCCTTACAAGCGTTGCAAAAGTGTTCTGCAGGTGGCGTATGCGAGGAGCGTAAGGAAGAGTGGGAGAAAGCTGCATTCTCACTGTTTGCTATGGTAGGTAGGCGGGTGTGAACTTATTCGGCTCAGTGAAAATCTGTCTGTCTGTGTCTGTCTGTCTCTGTGAAATCTGAGTCAAGCATGACGGCATTGACGGGTGATCTTCTGTTTTTGTAACTTTTTTTATTTTTATTTATTATTTTTATAATTTTATTTTTATTTTTAATTTTTTTTTGTACTTTTCAAGTTCTTAAGTTCCAACTGAAATTGAGTTGAAATTCAGACCAGTTCCCGCGAGGTTGACTGTGCCGTGGAAAGCCTGATCTGGCCTCCTGCAACCCTTTATGAAAAATCATAAATGGGAAAAAAATTAAAAAAAAGAAATTCAGTTAAGACTCAAGAGTCTTAAGACTCGAGACAGAGTTGAAAAAATGATTTTTGAATTTTGCATTGAGCCTCACTGCTCGACACCTTGAGCACACACACACATTGAGAGATTTCACGAAATCCACACCGGAGTCCAGAGATGCAAAGTCCAGATATGCAGCTTAGAAATTCCAACAAATTATCACATTAAACAGTTTCGGAGATCTTGTCACCAAGCGCTCAACAGCGCAGAATTCAGCAACCCAATACCAGCATCCTCAACTAAGGTAGGTGACTCTCTTCTCTCCCTGGCTCACTCTCTCTTTCTCTCTCTGTCTTCTCTCTCTCTCTCTGTCTTCTCTCTCTCTCTCTCTCTCTCTCTCTCTCTCTCTCTCTCTCTCTCTCTCTCTCTCTCTCTCTCTCTCCCCTTGAGAATCTTGACTCTGAATACATCCGCTGCTACTCAGCTGTATTCCTACTACTAACTAATGCGGCTATGACCGCCTTCCCTTTCAGTGCAGCGCTGCCCAGCAGGGCTCTCGAGCGCATGCTACTCGCAGCGCAAGCGCTTCAGCAGCACTTCCACACTTCTCAAGAATGATCAATCTCTCCTGAAATGTGGCTGGCCAGTCCTTATATTGACTTGGACTGAGCCTCAACCCGTCCCAGCCTCTGCTTCCTTATATTGACTTGGACTGAGCCTCAACATGCCCACGGCCTGCTTGCTTCAGAATGTCATGGCCTGGTTCTTTTCCCGAAATTTCTTTGGTGTGCTGCTGCTTGAGTCTGTGGGTCACGACTTTCCATCTGTGGAACATGACTTCTGACTGTGGGATGTGACTCTTGCCTCTGGGACACAAGTTTTTTTGCCTGGAGAAGTGTCCTTTGCCTGTGGGACATGACTTTTCAATATGACTTTTCAATATGAGACGTGACTTTTGCTTACAGAATGCGACTTTTGCCTTTGGGATGTGACTGTTTACCGGGTGCCTGTTGGACTTGACTCCTAAGGTACCCGACCGTGACCTTTCTGAACTGGCCGACTTGGCCTCCCTTGGCTTGAGACCTTGGCCCCGTGAAATTCGAATTTGGGGTCTGCATCGTGGAATGCCTTTCAATTTCGTCTCTCCGAACTTAAAAAAAAACTGATTTCAATAATAAATAATGAATTTTAACTCACTTAAGTTAATAATTCAATTCGAACTTTGAAACATACCTATTCTTTGAACCTGGCCTCAGTTCACCCTAATAAGCTTGAGCTATAGTTTGAGCCAAACCTGAGCTCTCGTTGCTAAACGCGGCATAAAAATCGAGTCACATGAGTCAGACGGGGGTTAAAACTTTTTTGTCAAGCCACTGTCAAACCACCAGTCCATCCGAAGCTAAATTGCGGAGCCAACAAATGCATTTTGCCGAGCCTAGAATCTACAGTGCAGGCCTTTGGAAAAATCATAAATGAAAGTGGTACCCCTTTCCCACAGAATCTCCACCGGGCCTTGGCACTGTAGACTTGGGCCCAGTAGACTTGGGCCCTTGTAAACGAGTAGAATCTACAGTGCAAGGGCCATTGGACTGGTGGTTTAGAGTTTAATAACTTTAAACCTTCCTTTTTGTCAAAGGTGATGGCGGTGAGACATTATCATTCTAGTATTCTACTGACTGGCCACAGGTAATCCAGAGCTATTTTATTCTAGTATTCCAGTATTCTAGTATTCTTTGCAAAGTTTGCATTGGTTGCAACTGATCGCGTGTGGACTCGAACTTGGGTCTGTATTTCAACGGTTAATTGGTACCAACTGAGCTATGCCCGTTGGTGGTTAAAACCTGATGTAGGCCTGACTGAGGTAAACCTGGGACAGAAGTCATCTCTCTAAACCTCGTAAGTTTTATATATAAGTAGTCAAGTTCGTATATACTCTTTTTAAGTTTTTACTATTTAGGCGTTTGTTGCATTGTTACGATTTGTTAGCATTTGCTCACAGAACCAAGACTTGAATCTGGACATCATTTTGAACCTTAGCCTGCACGTCAGTCCAGACTCCAGATGCCATTCAGAAGCCCAAATCTGGAGTGGACCCCTCAACCAAAATCTGATCATAAACTTCATATCTGATCCAGAAAAAAAAAAAAAAAAAAGGTTACCTGTGGCTGGGCCCACCTGGGTGTCTCTGGATGCCTTGATGGCCCGGCAAGGCCACATCCGGGCAAGGTCTGGGCAAGGTCCCGAGCAGTTCCACCACCAAAAAAAAAAAAAAAAACAATGGGGAAAACTCCGAAAAAGAAATGTTGTGTACAATACTACAATTGCAAATTTTGCATTGCGAACAGCTTTTGGGTGAGGGTCACTCTGGAGTTCAGTATTTATTATTTTCAAGTTGAGAACACTGAGAAGTAAAGTAGAAAATTACTAGAAATACTATGAAAATCAGGGTTACCCGACCGAATGTTCGGGGGCCCCCGGGCTGGCCCCCGAACGTTCGGGCGTTCGGGGTCCCGTTCCCCCCGCCAAAAAACTTTTCGGGGCCTAAAAATAAGTTTTTTTTTCTGAATTTTTTTTTGTGAGTCCTCTATGATGTAACCTACACGCCTATAAATTTTGAAGCCATTCTGCGAAGCCAAAAAAACATTAAAAATCGTCAAAGATGGGGGTGTGAAAACGTGCTCGCCCACTCACTATTTTGTTTTTTTTCACTTTTAACTTTTTGTTTTGACTTTATTTCGGGGCCTAAAAAATTTTATAGTTTTTTGAAAAAACTTTAATGAGTTATTGATTATGTAAAATACATATCTGTAAATTTTCAGGGCATTTGTCAATGTCAAAAAATAATTAAAAATCGGCAAAGATGGCGGTGTCGAAAAGGTGCTGGCACACTCACTCATTTTAATTCTCTTTTTATTTTTTCTTATTTTTATGATTTATCATAGTGTTTATTTTCTGTATTTGATTTTTAATTCAAATTTGGTAAAGAATTTGGATGTAGTGCCAAGGCAAATGTGAGGATTGAGCCCTCAAGTAGGGGCCTTGCCATGATGTACATGTTCTGGGCTAAGGCCCCAGCAAGCCTAGTGCCCGCCCTAAGTGAAGGCGGGCCAGCAAATCAACAAGAGCCCTCTGTGCCAACATTTCACGAAGTGGGGTCTATACAGTTGCAGCACGCCAGTTGGTTGGAGTGCACCGAGTCTCGGATTTCAGCAAATGCTGAAATGCCCAGGGCCTCTGAGTTAGTTAGGCCCTGGGCACTCGAACRTGAGGCCGACAATGCATGCTGGGTGAGAGGCCGAAAATGCCAAAGGGAAATCGGCCCACTGTCTGAATCTGGCCGCAGGCCTTGATGAAGGAGGCGCAACTGCATTGCCCCGGGGCCCAACTGTATCGAGTTGGCTTCAGCCTCTGGGCCCCGGTCACAGGCTGAAGGGAGGCCGCCCACACGCTGCACTGGCATATAGGCAAGCAGGGCGAGGAAGCAGGGAACTTGGCCATTGCGGGCAATGCCGGCACGCTGCGCAAATGCGAGCTGCTGGCTGCTGCGCTGCTCTAAGAGGTAGTGCAAGGCAGGCATGCGCTAGGCGGTAGGGCGCTGCCTGTGCACTGGGCGCTTGGCGGCCATAGCCGGGCTGCAGAGGGCGTAGAGAGGGGTGAAGGGCGAAGGTGGTACTTCGGAGGTAAAGGGCGCTGTGTGGGTGACAAGGGAGAGTGTGGAGAAGAGGACACGTACCTGATGATGGTGGAGGTCGGCATTGGTGTTGCCATCATCACTCGCTGGTAGTCAAGTTGTCTGGTTGCTGTTCATTGCTGTAGTTGTAGGATAGGCTGTAGAGTAGATAGGGCGCCTGGCGCCATTCACAAGAGAGAGGTACATTTGGGTTATGCTGTTGGTGTTGCCCTGTTGGGCATGGACATTGACTCACGATTCTTCTGTGTCATTCTCAATGGGATGGTTACTCGGTTTCATATGCTATCTGCTTTGGCTTTGACTACTTGGACTTCAGTGTGATTTTGCATTCTGGATTTCTGTGCTTCGTCCATACTCATGTTCCTTGCACAAATGTTGTTTAGTTTATATATCTCCAGAACATTTTTTTTTTTCGGAATTTTTTGAAAACTTTTCTTTTTCTTTTTTTCTTTTTTTTTGGTCCGCGTTCGGCTCGGACGGCCAAACGCCTTCCGAAGGGGTCCCGTATGTTCGGGCGTTCGGCCCGTCCCGAACGCCGGCAACCTTGATGAAAATAATATAAAATTTCAAAAATATTAAAATTTATTCGGTATGGATTTCAAGGTGAGAACTAAAGTAGGAAAAAGAAATTAAATTAGGTACGCCCCTCTTGAAACGGTTTTCACCTTTTAGCAGTAGCGGATGCAGTACCCAGGGTTCGATCCCTAGACCTCAACCTACCCATGTACAGTATCTGTGTAGACCCCGGGAATTGAACCTTTGACCTGTGTATTCGTAGGCAGTTGGTAGGCCTGTCGTAGCTCCATAGGCAGCAGGAGTTCGATCTGTAGGTCTATAGCGTAGGAGTCTTAGTGAGTTCCGGAAGCTTAGCTGTAGACCTTCTAGAAGGTAGGCAAGTGGGCAAGTGGTCAAGTGGTGAGGCAAGTGGTGGACTAAACCGCAGTGCAACAGCAGTACAACGTCGGTAGGATAGCGGTGAGTCCACAGTCAGTCAGCAGAAGGTCCAGTCAGTCCCAG